TAGAGGAAGAATTCCCTTGTAGTTCTCAGAAACTTTGAGTTGCATTTCATACGTTTCTAATTCACAAGGTATGCAAGGTAACCTTTACAGAAATAAACTATTAGATAAAATAAAGGATACTCAACAGGTGCATCAGAGAAAATAAAAATCAGTACACTTACAAAAAAAAATACTTAACAGGTGCATTACAGGAAATAAAAATCAGTATACTTACCAACAGAATATTTAACAGGTGCAAACACATTACGGCATATTTCTAAAGGACAATCTAGGTTGAAGGCATTAATCTACAACAAAGATTACAAAAAAATATACAAGTTGATGAAACTGAAACTAATTTCATGCTAGTAACATTTAAAATTCACAAGACACTGACGTTGTATCAGTAAGCAAAATGTAAGGTATTGGTGAGATAGGATTTAGTAGACAGAAATTATGGATTTGGATTATTGTAATTCTTTATGTGTTAAAATAATCTTGCCATTAAATGAGTAAACTTTCTGGACTGTATCTTATAATAAATACATTAATTTTTCATTTCACCAAGCTTTAGGCTTTCCTATTGGAGCATTTGTCAGATCTTGTTGCCATAGTTATGGAATAAACAGTGGGGGTGTGTGTGTTATTTGGTGAAAATACAGTTTTGAAGAAATACAATAACTCAGTGTATATAAATAGATATACATAATGTATGTTCATTATACATGAAGAAATACACTTAAGTACTGATATGAATTCATTAATAAGGAATACATAAAAAAATTATGTGGCATGAAGTATATCACCAATGGTATTTCAGTAATTTTTACATGGTATTAATATAGACAAGTTATGTTATACTTACGTTAGTATTAAAGTAAGGTAACAAAGTACAGTTTATGCAAGAACAGAAGTCAATATCAAGTAAACATACTTAAGATATATTAATGTGACATGATGAAATAAAGAATTAATCAGCATAGATGTAGATGTTTTGAAATTACTTATGTTCAAAAAGTTAACATTTTCCTAAATTGAAAATGTATTTCCAATAATACTCACCTCCTCTCCAATTTATAATTATTATGTGACTGCCAGGGTTTCTTCCTTTGCCCATCTAAGCATTGGTCCGATTTTTTTTTTGCTTGCTTCAGTCTTTTATACCCAACTCAATTGCCCTTGGTGATATTTATCTCATGACAATCTCCACCTACATCAATGCACCCTCTATCCTGGTACTGTATATAAGCACCTCATTCAGATAATGTTATCACTTTTTCAAGACTGACTCAATCCCAGTCTCTAACACAGAATCTTAGTGGGGAGGAAGGGTGGGAGGGTGTGAGATGAGGTAAGTATTATTGGAAATACATTTTCAATTTAGGAAAATGTTAACTTCCAAAACATATGTACCTCCACTCCCACTTATAGCTAGAATCCCACACTAATAAGGTGGAGGAGCCAGTGAGGGCATCATCCATACAGAAAGCATCTGTATAGATTATGGGTGTGTCAAGAGAAAAAACAGCACTACATCCAGAACAGGTATGCTCTTCACCCGGAACTTAATTTCTGTATCGTAGGTGAAATTTTACATTAGTTATCATCACTACAGTTCATGCTCCAACCAGATAGCCGAGGTTTCACTATTCGAGGTTGGAATTAAGGGATCATGGTCCCTATATCCTACATTGGTGGCTAGGGCAATTGGACCTTATTCCACTAAAGAAAACAGAAATCATCCAGTATGGAATTATGAGCACTCATCTTCACTCCTCAACAGTATGAGCAAGATACATCCCACTTGCCCCCGGAATTATGGGGAGGACATGAAACATCCGTGCTCAACCAAAGACCTAGGATAGGACCACTATGCATTCAGAATTATGAGAAGACAGTGGACCCTCTTCCATGAACAATGTACTGAACCAACATTGATCAAAAAGAAGGGCCATGCACACCCCAACTGGATAGCCAAGAATCAAATCTGAAGCAGTATTATGAGTAGGCTCCTGCTTAGGCTGGTGCCACTCCTACATCTGGGAAAAAACATCCAGGGACCTGGGTAGGAGGACCCCCAACTTTGCCCTCTTCTCCAAGAGTGGAGGAATTCACTAACACTCTGGAGGAAGAGTCCCTGTCCACCACCACAGTGACTGTAAACCAGGTGTGGTAAGGACTCCCTAACTCCACTAGTAGAATCTGGGGGGTAATGCTCATTAGGGAGCTTTAAGGAACATTGTTCTGGAAACAGTGCAATAGATGAACCAAGTTCCCTAAATTTTTAAAAGCAAACCGACTCTCATTTATTCGATCGAATGATTGGCAGGGATGGGCAGCATCCCCTTATGCTTTACTCATGATAGTCCATGAGTGGCAGCTCAGGATAGTACAGTAATACCACCCAATCAGCCTCAAGGTGGTCTTATGGGACACCTCATTTCTACATAGCCTGTTGCAACCTGTATAAAGTATATTGAATTAGTGGTTGCTAGTGCAGAATTGGCTTGATAAAAACACACCTGCCTGGGCAACACTTGCCACAGAGTGGGATCCGGTGAAAACAAGGTAAGGGACTCTGAAAGGTAGCAACAAAAATACTCACGCCTCTGTGTAATCTAGCAGAAATGGTTAAGATAGCTACAGGGGTAGGCAAAAACCCTCAGATGAATAGACTGTTAGATCATGCAAATAATGAGAGATAAAAGTATCTAGTGGAGGCTCACATACCAGTCCACAAAAAGACATCCAGCAGGCATTTCAACCTAGAATGAAAAGTCATTATCTAGTATCTCCAAAGGCATTAGTGCAGGCAACAAAACTTTCAAGACCCTCACTGAACATGACCACAATCAAAATCTGATCAGATAGAGAAGTGAAAAATAATGATCAGATGAAACGGTAATAAGGATTTATCCCCTTCCCTGTCTGACAGTGTCTTGGGTAAGAATGTGTGTGTTTTCTTATAGCAAAGCCACATCAGGCTGTTTGCTGTGTCCCCCTAGGAGAATCAAACCCCTAATTTTAACATTGAAAATCCAAGGACTTACCACTGTCCCACCAGGGGACAATTGGGTAAGAAGAACCAGTTTGAGGACGTAAAGAGAATGAGAATGCAGGCTGTGGATAAAAGGTGCAAATCACACCGACTGGTGATGTCTGTAGGTCAGCAGCCACAAAAATAAACCTTAAGGTAAAGGGGATACATGGCGTATAAGAGTTAGGTCAAAAACAGGTGTTGAGAAAGAACATGTAATGTAAGCTTAAAATACCTGTTAGGTAACTGGAATGGTCATTTTGGACCAAAGACCCAAAGTGACATGAGGAATCTGGAGAGGACTGGGGACTCAAAGAATATGTAGTTTAGAGAATTGCATCATCAATGAAGTTGGTGACTCTGAGAGTCTCCTAACAAAGTGAAGTGAAAGGAAAATAAAATGTTGGATTTTACAGTTCTAAGTCAACAGACTTACCCTGTCCCATCAGAGGACATTGATCTATTCCGGTTAATCACAAATTCCGCCTTAGAACCCCGAAATTCGGAGCGGATGTGTTATTTGAGAGTGGCAAAAATTCTTCTACATGGCAATGGCAGGCTAAGTCACAAAGTTCTGACAATGTGTCAGGTAAGACATAACTGCTTCTTCATGTAACTGAGATATAAACCTTCCAGCATGAACCACAATATCCATGGATGGAGAGAAAAATAAAAATTCGCTCCCAGACTTTTCAGCCATCAAGTAAGGTGCAGGCTCAAAAGCAACTGGAAAAAGGCACAAAACATCACATTCTCGATGAACCAAGTGAAGAAAACAAATAAAAAGCAGTTTATCCCAAAGTGGCCTCCTGTTTGTTTTTGATAGGTCATTTAAAGATTGTGTTGATTACCATTGATTGAAACAACTTTTGGTCAAGTAAATTTGTTGTATTAGAGCAAAGCAATGTTGGGCCATCTGCGGACTCCACCATAGGGAATCGATTCCCGGACTCCAGCGCTGCAAGTCAGCAAACTTACCACTGCCCCCAAAAGGGGACTGAAAAGCTAACAGACTAAAATAGTGATTCTCAACCAGGGGTAAATTTACCCTTTGGGGGTAAAAAAATTACATGGCAGGGGGTAAATAATTGATGTACCTGATGATTGAATAATAATTCAATTAAATTTCATTTTGTAAAATGTGTGTGTGTGTGTGCTCGTGTGCATGCATGAGGGAGAGAGGGAGGAGGTGGAGGAAGGGAAAGTGTCAGTCAATCCTGTTCAGTCCTATACAGTCACTATACTAATTCATAATTATTTCTTTTCAGATTTTGTCATGTCCAAGAAACGTACATACCTGGATTCATATGTACAATATGGTTTTGACTTCATTGTTGTGGATGGTGTGGAGAAGCCTCAGTGTCTGCTGTGCTCAAAAGTTCTTGGAAATGGGTCACTGAAACCTTCAATATTGAAAGAGCATCTGGAAGCTACACATCCTGCCCATGCATCTGATGATCGTGCTACATTTAAGGCAAAGAGAGCTAAGTTTAGGGCTGCAGGAACACTGCCCAAACTTGGCTTTGTATCTGAGAAGAAACCAATGCTTGCAGCTTCCTATCATGTAGCGATGCGAATAGCAAAGGCAAAGAAGCCTCATGACATAGCCGAGAAGCTGATTAAATCTCGTGCCTTAGACATGATTGAACATGTATGTGGGAATAAAGAAAAACAGAAGATTCAAGCCATTCCCCTTTCTATTGACACAATTCATCGGCGTATTATAGAAATGTCGCAAGATATTTGTCAACAAGTTATTGAACAGATCAAATCTGGCCCAGCAAAAATTTCTTTGCAATTGGATGAATCCTGTGATGTAGCCAATTTTTCACATCTTCTTGTTTTTGTCCGTCACATATGTGGAAAAGAACTAAAAAAAGAATTTCTCTTTTGTGAACCTCTCGAACAAACCACAAAGGCTGTTGATATAATGCAGAAAATACAAGACCTCTTTGAAAAAAAAACGATCTCACATGGGACATTGTTGGTTCAATCTGTACTGTTGGAGCTCCAGCCATGATGGGACTTCTTTGAGAAGAACGATCTCACATGGAACATTGTTGGTTCAATCTGTACTGATGAAGCTCCAGCCATGATGGGAGTGAGATCAGGCTTCACTGCACTTGTGAAGCAAAAGGCACTCCATGTGATAACAACACATTGTGTTCTTCACAGACATGCATTAGCTGCAAAAACTCTTCCTGAAAATATGAAAATTGTTTTGCAGAAAGTTGTTGAGGCTGTTAACTTCGTTCAGGCCCGAGCTTAGAA